CTTGACAACAATTCCCAATAATTAAGGTCATTTTTCTTTCTGTATCAACATGTCAACAAAACATTATCACTACTCATGGTAAGACATACAGCAACATGAGACCAAACTTACTCAGAAGGTCCAAACTGTTCCATTTTATTCCTTGACTTTATGATCTCTCTTAAGCTGAGGTCAAGACTAAAGAGAAAAAGGAGTTACTGAGAGAGAGAGAGAGAGAGAGAGAGAGAGAGAGAGAGAGAGAGAGAGAGAGAGAGAGAGAAACCCTATCTTACACCTATCACTATTGCTCTCAGGTAACATAATGCTTGTGGGTCGATCAGATAGGTACTAGTTGCAGGGTGCAGAGTCATCCACGAGGTAACAACAGGTTGCATTTCTCCTGATGAAGGGAGGAAGGTTGGTGGAAGGAGGCAAGATGACCGACTGACCGACATTCATTTTTTTTTAACTCTTCATACTGATCTTATTTTTGTATCAACATCAGTGAAGAAATCCTAAAAAATATATATATATATGGTGACCTACAAAAATCTGATCAAATAATAAAAAAAAAAAATCCTCCTAGTATCATTTACACTACCGAGGTCTTCAAAGGCCAGCCATCGACCCCCTTCACCCTCCCCCCTCCCCCGCCTCATCCACCCATTTAAGTCCAACCAGTCCTTCAACTTTCACTATCTTAGGAAAATCACAGGTAAGTCATCACGAGTCATGAGTCAGTTTGTGAGTTCCTCTTCATAGAACTTATGTCTATGTCTGTGTCTGTGTTTGTGTTTGTGTTTGTGTCTGTGTTTGTGTTTGTGTCTGTGTTTGTGTCTGTGTTTGTGTTTGTGTTTGTGTTTGTGTCTGTGTTTGTGTTTGTGTCTGTGTTTGTTTGTGTGTGTCTGTGTTTGTGCTTGGTTTGTGTGTGTGTCTGTGTTTCAGGTTTGTGTTTGTGTCTGTGTTTGTGTTTGTGTGTGTGTCTGTGTTTGTGTTTGTGTGTTCTGTTTTTTGTGTTTGTGTCTGTGTTTGTGTTTGTGTTTGTGTCTGTGTTTGTGTTTGTGTGTGTGTCTGTGTTTGTGTTTTGTGTTTGTGTTTGTGTCTGTGTTTGTGTTTGTGTGTGTGTCTGTGTTTGTGTTTGTGTCTATGTTTGTGTTTGTGTCTGTGTTGTGTTTTGTGTTTGTGTCTGTGTTTTGTGTTTGTGTGTGTCTGTGTTTGTGTTTTGTGTCTGTGTTTGTGTTTGTGTCTGTGGTTTAGTGTTTGTGTGTTTGTGTTTGTGTCTGTGTTTGTGTCTGTGTTTGTGTTTGTGTCTGTGTTTGTGTCTGTGTTTGTGTTTGTGTCTGTGTTTGTGTCTGTGTTTGTGTCTGTGTTTGTGCCTGTGTTTGTGTTTGTGTTTGTGTCTGTGTTTGTGTTTGTGTCTGTGTTTGTGTTTGTCTCTTCATTTCATATCGACTGGGCTATAGAAGTTTTAATTCCCACGACAATAAACTTGACGAAGTAAGCCATTAGGTAAACACAAACCAAACTGACAGTAGAAATTAGTCAGTATTCGTGTTATGTGTGAGTTGTTGAATAGCTAATCCCAAAGTTGTATCTCCAAGAACATGTACTTTACTCTTTGTTACTTCTTCAACCGTTTACAAACTTCTGCCCAAAAGTCAGATTTGGTCAACGTTCAAATGATTTTTCACCAGCCTGTTTAATGGACTAATATTTAGGTCACAAGCATTTTGGTGACCCCGTCATGAAAGGTCAAAGGTCAGAGGTCAGGTATGAAGGAGAGAATGAAATGATGATAGTAGGGGATTTGTTTATTTCATAGTTAGACCCTTTTTATTGTATATATTTTTTTTATTAATTTTTCTTTGCCTTCTTTTCGTTCTTCTTACCTACAGTAGAGGCTGATCCTCCGTCTCCTCAAACAAGTGAAGTCTTGGAGCGTCTCTCACGACAAGAAAAAAAATCACTTCCTTATAAGATCCCAAAAACCCTACGATTATAATGAAAGATATAATGGTTCAGGGAAAAAAACAAAAACATTTAAAAATTATTTTAAAGATTCTAAAAAGGAATGAAAAGTTTTTCTTTTATAATATAAAGTGAACAAGTGTAATTAAGTGACTTTCATCTTCTTTATCTTCTCCATCCTGAGTTTACTCCGTTCCTACCCTTCTCCTCCTCCATCTCCTTCTACTCTTCCGCCTCTCACATTTCCACTTCTTCCTTTTGCCAGTTCTTATGACCTCCAACACGGTCACAAGAGGTCAGGGAGATACCAGTCACGATTCCACAATACACCTTGTGCGTGAAAGATCAACTGGTACTTTCTTTCCAGGTCACTGCTTATGGGAAGAAGACCCGTTGTATGAGGTCAATATATTTCCTCTGTCAGGACAAACTAACTGGAATGAATTTTTTAATAGTTTGAGCTTTACCGACTACTTCATTCTCTCCGTGTTAGCTGAACCAAATTTTACGACTGGCAATATTACCCGCCTCCGTCAGTGTAGGATGCTAAAGGTCGCTTACCTTCCACCAAGAGGTTACGGTGGCTCCTCGTGCGATGCGTCGACCAGACTCTGAGGGTCACACACCAGTTTCTTGATTTTATGAATACCACACAATCACACACTCAGATCCTCATAACAGAATCTTGACCTCAGGGGTATCACTGGGCCCTCACATAATTCTCCTTGAATGGCTCTTTGTCTTAACATACTTAGTGGTAGACACACTTGACTACATAACTTGTGGTGGTCTGGTGGGAAACTTTCATCTTTACTCTACGTTGTTCAGTCACCTTAGCGACTTCAATCGTCTAAGCTGTATTACACCACAAGGGTCTCATCAACCAATCAACCAGTCAACCACATCATCTAACAAACAACAAATTTAAATTTTGATCAGAAGCGACAAAATATAATGTTTCTGAAAATAATCTAAGTTATTTAATTATATTTTGTACTTGACGACCGTGAGATGGTAACTTGTTGGAGTGCGTCTGAAGTGTAACGGGCCTAGTGATCGGTTCAGGTGGAAACACATGATAATATTAATGAGACAGACACTTGCAAAACCTGTTTTATGCAAGACTTACCTACGTGGGATTTTCCCCTCCCTCTCTTCTTCGTACTCTTGTGAATAATCCGGATTTAAAAGCATTAGAAACTCTTTATATATTAAGACGGCAGCGTTTGCATCCCTCAACCGCCAAGAATGGAGTGTATAACCAATGTTTTCATCAGTAACTACACCACAACATACATACACGCAGATTTATTACTTGCCCTTGTACCACAATATCTGCAGACACTTTATGACAACTCTCAGAAGCCCAGTTTTTGAGACTGTCACAGGTGATGTCTGTCGTGCACTTGTCTTTCGTGTTTTTGTTACAAAGTGATCTGTGTCAAGGGCCCAGGGGTCAGTTTTCTAGTCAGGAGACGCGGGTCATTTAGTTCTGTATTATTATTATTATTATTATTATTATTATTATTATTATTATTATTATTATTATTATTATTATTATTATTATTATTATTATTATTATTATTATTAGTTAGGATATATAAAATAGGGTTATGTTGGTTGACTTATAGCCTTGGGTGTTTTAGGAATAGACTAGAATCTATTAAAATTGGGGCCTATTAAGACTGGATTTGTTTATTAATGGGGCCCATTTGACATTCCTTTGTTAATTTCCAGATAGAGGAGTGTGACTGTGGGTGGCTGGTGGTGGTGGGAGGAGGTGAACGGGACCTTACCTGCTTATACTACTCTGTGTTGACTCTCCACTGGGGTCATGTACCCGCTCCTCTGTTTAAGCTTAACTGTACTCTAACTGCACTCACTGTTAGATTCAGATCACTCAAGTCATACTCAGGTGATTTTCGTCGTACCTTAAGCTGTGTTTAGTTCGTTTGTCTTTCCTAACCTGACTGATAGTGTTTATGGTACGTGAGGGATTTTTATTTTTTTACGTTTGGGTTACGGCAGAAAAAATGGTCATGGCTGCTTCTTCACTCCAGTTTAATTACGAACAATTCTCACTTTAGTTGATATCTGGTAATCTATCATAGAGTGGATTTCACTCATACCGAAAGACAGCATATTTTCACTCCCTAACTTCAGGCGGTGTTCACTCTCTCATCACCGGGTAGTGGAGCAGTCTTCTGAAACATATCCGCATCACATGGAACATTCACTTAACATCAACATAAGACATCTCGTATTTCACACATCACATGAGAAATAAATTATTGGGGGCTAGATAGCTTTTATTTTCTGTACCAATAATTTTTCGTATTTAGTCTTTAGTCTTTAGTCTTCTCCCTGCTGGTGTCTCCTGTGTACAGTACATACGTGGTTCAAACACCTGCCTTATCCCACTGTCTTAACCTTGTACAGATATAACGTTGCTGAGAAGAGTGGCCTACCAACAACAGGGGTGGCCACAGTGGTCGGTGGTCAGGGGTGGCCACAGTGGTCGGTGGTCAGGGGTGGCCACAGTGGTCGGTGGTTAGGGGTGGCCACGGTGGTCAGGGGTGGCCACAGTGATCGGTGGTCAGGGATGGCCACAGTGGTCGGTCAGGGGTGGCCACAGTGGTCGGTGGTCAGGGGCGGCCACAGTGGTCGGTGGATCAGGGGTAGCCACAATGGTCGGTTGTCAGGGGTGGCCACAATGGTCTGTGGTCATGTGGTCATAATCAGTCAGGGGTGGCCACAGTGGTCGGTGGTCACTGTGCGTTACAGGTGAAACTCCCTTGCCATACTTACTGGCTACACTCACAATTTCAGTATTTAGTTGCTCTTCCCAAATACTTTAGTTAGTAAATATTCCAAACTAAATTGTATAACCATAATTCAAAAATAATGTATAATGGTAGGGAATGAATTTTACGTGAACATGGGAAAATAAATATCGTAATTATCAAAGAACAAAAGCGAAACATCAACACAACCAGTTACTGTTCCACTGAGTGAAACTTTCGACCAATTTTTCCTCTAAGACTTACTGGCTAACGCTTAAGGTAGGCGGTGTCGAGGCAGCAACGCTCACGCCTGGTATTCTCCCTCCGTCAGGCGCCACAGCAGCAGGTGAGGAAAATCTTGGCTTTGCTATTCCTTGTAACTTGAATCATTGACTCTGTGTTTTGTGTCGTCAATCTCACCAGTCAATGACTAATCGTTAAACATATTTCCGTGGTATGATTCATATGTTTGTTTACGTTTTGCGTTTGGTGTTGAATTGGAAATGGATGTCCCATAGTTAAATGATATTTCCACAATTACCTGATTGTCCAAACACAGCTTAATGTGCGTTAAAAACAAACTAAAGCGAGGTGGTGAAGTGTGGTCTACCTGACTCACAAAATTGTGATAGAAAGTAAACTATGGTACAGTTGGGGGACATTTCTGACTGGTAACTCAGCGTTGTCAATCCACCTTCATCGCGAGCTGTGAACCCTGAGAGTATCGAATTACGTATTACTCTGAGTTACTCTGTGAGAAATGAAGTACACACGGTTGCCTGGGGCCAGAATATTTTAAAACAACTTGATATAATTTTATTCATTACTTGACCCCACAACGTTGATGCTTTGTATGCTTCTTCGTTTACATTATGCTCCCATAGATTAATTGACATACACGGGCGCTCCTCATATTATGCACCTGGCAGCATATAACTTATTGCTACTTCTAAATTTACACCCCCTGTCCCCTGTCCAGCGCGCGCAGAGGCCTCCCTTCCCCTTCGTCTCCTTCCTTCCCATCACCTTAACGCACAGGTTGTTAAGACTCCTCAGGCGTAAGGGAGCACTGCACACTATGGAGCTTCAGCTGGTACCCGCACAACTAACACGTGACCAAGGATGAGGGTTAACTATGCCAATCATGCTAAATAGCTTGTTCATTCCTACCATTAACATGATATCCGCATAAGCACACCACCTGCTGACATCACCATCACTCTCCTTCCTCATCATCATATCACAACACTGTTACAACAACAACAAGTAACACCCCCCACACACACGACCCTGCTAAACTGTTACGACCTCCCTTTGCTTTGTTACGACTTCATTATACAGTGTTTCGACTCTCGCTATATTGTGTTACGACCCTCGTCATACTGCGCTCCGATCCTCACCATATTGTGTTCAGCATCATTTGTCCATACTCTTAAGAAAACTGTTTTGTCTATAATGGTCGAATTAGTCTTTTCGCTGCTGTGTTTACTTGTACTCACAATAAAAAAAATATCTACAATTTTGTGCTAGACAATATGACCCAATAGAAGAAGGATTTTGACAACCCTACTGAGACCACAGGAGTTGCAGTGTTCATTTTGAAATTTATCGAACTCATCCGTAAAGATACTTTTTTGAGTGTGTACTGTATGTAGTAATCCTTGAATACGGTGTTATTCTTACTTAATGGTTGTGGTAAGGAAGATTGTTTTAGTAAGTTAAGGAGATTAAATTGTCTTTCCAGATCTGCTAGAAGGAGAGCATGTGGGTTAGGTTAGGTTGATTAGATTAGGTAAGGTTAGGTTTGGTTACGTTAGGTTAGGTTAGGTTAGATTAGATTAGTTTAGATAGAAAGGAAATGTCAGGCAGGTAAAATAAAGGAAGAAAAAACATTAAAGAGTTAAGACGTCAGTAACCTGTATGAGAGTGTAGGGTTCCTTTTACCGGTGATTTGCGCAACTTACAACAAATGTCATATGGCTGCCTTTCACTTTCCTCCCTCTCACCTACTGCTCCCACCTCAATCACTCACCACCACTGACCCACCTGACCACCCCACCTACCACCACCTAACTCTAACACCACCCACACCCAATACCAACCCCATCCACTACCCCCCACATACACCTACCGGACATACCCACAACCTCCTGTATCACCACCACCCACTATTACCATCCCCACCCACCTTCCTCGCCCCACCCACTACCTACCTCCATCCACCACACCTGTCTGTTAAAGTATCTGGTTGTGTTTACATACATACAGCTCCATCTCATAAGTGTGTGCCAGGTAATATATTGTATTATTTGCCTCTCTAGTGTGAGGAGTTTGTGTTATGATTGACCAAACTAAGAAAAATAATCCTCTCTGCCAGTTCGCACGCCGCTCCTCAGCTCGCAGAATGCAAACAAACCATCACTTGCCATTTTATTCTGGCTACCGGTAGACGATTTTATTCAGCTTTGGGTAACCTCCCGCTGTGAAAGGGTTAAAAAAGGAATGAACCGCTGAACATTGCTCTCCTACTCTAGACCTTGATACTAACAAGTGTATTGTTGGTCAATGATCTGTTCCTGTAGAAATAAGTCAGAGTTCAGTAATTGTTTGAATTCACTGTAGCAGCCTGCCTTAACCTGGAGAAGACAAAATGATGCAGAAGTACAGGGCGGACTGACGAGAAAAAATTCGTGTTATATCCACCTATCGCTTTATGATGATTTTTGGGGGTAAAGTTCCCCGTCAGTGATAGTGAAGCTTCTAGGTTCGAGTCTGAACCACAAAAATTAGTCACTTTGGTTAGTAACAGATGGCGCGCATACCTATGTGTACACTTATTTTCTATCAATTGTCAATGTTGGGAGAGTCAGTCACTTAGCAATAAGATCAAGTGTGATTACAGAATAATGGGTAAGAGAGGGATTATATATTCCTCAAAGTGTGATTGTTAATAATTTGTAATCATTCATCTTTTACCGGCGTGACATCACTAGAGAATATTTAGAAAGTCATTGCCATATCCCGGGGAGGGAGGGAGGTGGGGGGGTTACAGCCACCCCAACCAAAACACATAACTCCCCACTTGACCATCAGGACACTTGTGGCTCACTCAAAGGGCTTCCAGATGTCATTTCAAAGTTGAAGTGATAGGTGGATGAATGACGCAGATGTGACGTGATGGTGTCAAGGTTAAGTTAACAGTCTCGGCATCACCACCCAGTTAATACGTCTTCGGGATCTTAATTTGTTAATGACTATTGAGCCACCTGGTTAGTTAGTTGGTTACTCTTTCCTTTTTTTTTTTGTTAGTTCGTCGAGGTTGTTGACTCTGCGCTGTGTTTCAATGAGTTCTGTTCCGGAAGTAAGAACGGGATCCTTCTGACGCTTTGCTAGTGAATGGGACTCGGCCGTCACACCTAACCATTAAAACACTCCACTTTTTAACGGTATTTTTATTTCCATAGCAAAATTTCGCAAATAGTTTTTTATGGAGTTATTAAGTATTTACAACCTAACCTAACCTAACCTAACCTTAGAAAATGGAAGGATTATAACAGTTTCATAAGCATAAAAAATAGAGTATTTCCGGTTGGTGTCTTCCATTCTAAGGTACAGAGAAAGAAAGAGAGAGAGAGAGAGAGAGAGAGAGAGAGAGAGAGAGAGAGAGAGAGAGAGAGAGAGAGCCTCGCTTGTAGATATGTGGGTTACGGTAAATAAAAGTAATGGTGGAAGAATGACAGCGACAACAGCACCATTATTAACACTTCGGGAACAGTTTGTGGGTGAGGAAGGAGGCCACGTTTCCTTAACACATCATTCAGTGGTCACCTTAACTACTCTCTCTGTATGTCACCTTCCTCTCGGTTATTTTACTTACTGGACATTGAAATATCCAGGCTTATGACACATTTTACCTTCACTTAATATATAATGTCCTCATACTATACTGACACTCATTCACTCTTACTACAGAATCAATGTAAAAAAATTATCTAAGTTTACCTTCATCATCATCATAGAAAATTGGGTTTGTTTGTGATCGGTTATAATTTTTTTCCGTCGAATTACTTCATCCTCACCTTTCTCATTTATACAATTTGACTTATCTTAAAGTTAGCGATATTTTCTGTAGGGGGAATATATTTTAGGTTAGGTTAGGTTTAGGTAGCGTATGAAGAGTTAATGTATCTTATGTTTATTTCATTTTGGTTTAAATGATAATAAAAAAATAAATAAAGTGCTCCTAGTAATATCGAACTAAACCATCAATTATTATCTTCAGACGAAACACGAATTTGTAAATTAAACCAAAAACTATAAATTAAACATGAGAGTGAAAATCAAACCTAAATCTGAAATTAAACTTAAGTGTAAATCAAACATAAACCCGTAAATTACAACTGCGACGTAACCTCACTATAAAACGAGGAAATAAACCATCATAAACCAGCCACGCCGCGGGGCAGCTTGACCGTAGTTGGCACCGTTTCTCCGTACTCACCTCTGACGGGGGGGGAGGGGGGGGGTACTCGCTACACCTTACCTGTTACCGGGACCACTAGAGTGAGGGTGAGTTGGTGAATGTTGGCGGGTGTAGGATGGGGGAGTGTGGGTGGGTGGGTAGAGGAGTATGGAATGAATAGGGTAGTGTGGGTGGGTGCATGAGGGAGTGTTGGATAAAAGGGGTAGTGTGGGTGGGTGCATGAGGGAGTGTGAGTGGGTGGATTGGGAAATGTAGGATGGAAGAGGGAGTGTGGGTGAGTGGATGGGGGAATGTGGGATGGAAAAGGGAATGTGGGATGGAAGAGCTAGTGTGGGTGGGTGGATGTGTTATCATTGCTGTTGTGGTGGACGTACGAAGTGGTCATGACTCACACACACAGGATGTTAACGAAAACACTAAACTTGTTCATTTTATATCCTCACCTCTCCCGTTCCTCTTCCGAAGTAAAATAAAACCAAAAACCAAGAAATTTTGATGGTTGTTGTTGTGTCAGTCTGTAGATGCATTTATTTGATTTTTTCTACCGATGAAAAATGTCCTCACTTTTTCGCTCGTCTGGTCTGAAAGCATGTGACTGGGCAGTAAAAGTCTTCGTAGTTTCCCCATTATTCCTGAAACTGGTGGGATTGTGGGTGGTCGACAGTGGTGGTGAAAGACGTATTGTAATTTTCACTGAATGAACGTTCAGACACAGGTGACTTGCAGGTGAGTGTGTGAATGTTTATCTCTGTTGCTCACACTTCCGTCCGGGACTAATCACGTCATCGTTTACATATTGTTAGTGAGGTCGTTCTCTTGTAGCCAGGATTTGTGCTAGTTCATTGTGGTGTCTCTATACTGAG